TATATAATCAATATGTATAAATGCTGTCTCTTATACACTTCTAGATGTGTATAAGAGATAGGCCACCAACCTATAACAGAACGTGTGATGGGATATCTCCCCAGTGTACGATGATTGTCTTCAGTAGGCAAATAGTGACTATATGATAGACCTAATTATTACACGAAGGAGTTTACAATTAAACAGATAGGCCTATTAATGTTGCCGACATGTGTGTCATAGATTAATATATTTATCTAATCTCAGGTCTCTTGAATTAAAAGTCTTACCTTTCGAGTAGACAAGCTCCAAGCTATACAGTTCAGGTCTTTTTGAAGTCAGATTGTTTTGTAGGACAGCCAACAAAAGTACAGAAGAGGGCGAATGAGGCAACACCCAAAACCTCACAATAATCCAACCTTCTACCTCAGTTGTCAATTCTGTAAGACACTGAACCTCAAAGTGGTAACGCTTCATGGGTCTATTTACAAAGTATGCGAAGTATAGGTTCATTCAGTTTGCGCACTCAAGCTTAGATATTCAAATCCGTACAAGGTAGACAAAGTGAATGAAATGGCGTAGAATGGCACTGCCCGGTAGCACTGTTGAATCATACCAATAACCGTGTATACTATATAGTGTGAAAACACCGCTATTGATTCCTCATTATGTTTCATTGTATGTTTACTCATCTTTCGCATCTATCTGGTGCCGTATTATCATGAGTTTGTGTATTTTTTTATAATATATAGAGACAAACAATTTATAATAATAATAATAATAATATGTCGCTCTTATATAGCGCTTCATGCACAATGCCTCTAAGCGCTATACTACGAACGCTTATAGTTTACATGTTATTTTATTTCATTAAATTGTTTTCATTGTTCCAAATTTTGAATTAGAAATTGCCGGGCATCTGGGGACCTGCAATGGCCAAAATACGACGCCAATACAATGTCCCCTGTCTCCAGCAGCCGCGATCGACTCCAATTAAAGTGTCTTTAGCACATGAAGCAGTGGATCTGGTGGATCTGGAAATGTCCAAAAATGGAGGAGGGGGCGAAAGTGGGACTGGTCGTGATAACACTCCACTAGGAGGTCCGGGGGAAATTTTTGTGTTGTAGACGCCCGAAAATAACCTTTGAGGAGTTTTGGCCGATCAATTTTTTAATTTTTTCTTTCTTTTTTTTTTTTTCTTTTTTTAACCTTCAAAAAAGTGGTGGATGTGGGGGGGGGGGGCTGACCAAGAGCAATACTTCTCGCCCAAACGCTCAGTTTTACTGCGATGGTTCTTGATGACGTTGGTTTCAACATGGAGTAATAATTACAGTTTCAATAATAATTTGTAAATAAAGCCTACCCACAATATTCCTTTTTATTTTGACCTAGAGTTTACACGTGTAGTATTGCAACGCAAAAAAAAAAGATCACAACAAGCTGATTGAACAAATTCTACAAATGCTGACAATGAATGGCATTTTTATTATAGAATATAAAAAAACAAGCATTTCTAACTCCTGTAGGCCTATAACGATTATTTTGAATGAATTTATAAAGAAATTAAATTATTTTATAATAATTCTATTTGTATAAATTATTAGAATTATTAATTGTCGGTATTTATTGTGGTACACTGCATATGCGCTTCGCTTTACATCGATTATTCGATCAAAACACATATGAAACACATACTTAGCTCACTAGTGTTCCATAGCAGTATATACCTGAAAATAATCACTATTATTTACATTCATACCATTATATTTATCATATGTCATTAATAAAAAAAATAAGGTCATAAATACCACCATCGATTCTAGATTGTAATTATTCTTAAAGTTCGTTTCTTTCAAAATTAAATACACATACATATATACCTATGTGTATGTGTATTTAATTTTGAAAGAAACGAAACACATATGTATATATAGCCTACATATATAATACATATGTATAAATGTATATATGTGCATATATATACATTATATATATACATATATATATATAGTACAATACCCTTTTTCTTGAGGAATTTTGTGGTTTACATTGTAATACCAAGTCGTTTAAAAACCAATTCCATTGGTGATATGTAAACTGCCATATATATATATATATATAGCATTACTGCAAAATGGTTTAGTTTTTATATCTATATATAACCTTTCCCGAGATTTTGTTCAGTGCCTTAACCAATATTAGTTTCACAACATATCAAAACTATGTGTGGCGTGTCTAGGGGCTGTCTCTTATACACATCTAGATGTGTATAAGAGACAGATATATGTGTGTGTGTGTGTGTGTGTGTGTATGTATATATATATGTATATATATAAATCATGATATAATAGAGATAAAAACTAAACCGTGCCTTTAAAAAATTAGTTGCACAACATATCAAAAACAATGTGGAACATCTTCATCTTGTTTGTATTTTTGTCTTGTAAAAGCATTGCCCCTTAGTGAAGCCAATATGGTTCGCTATTGTCATATACAGTTCTCGCCTTGTGACTAAAAAAAATACATTTACAGAAGGAAAATGAAAATATTCCTTGAAAGTTTACAACGGTCTAAATATTTTACATTCAAAAGTTGGAGAGGTACCGTAGAAATCGTTCAAAACTTCAAAACTAGGCCTAATATAAATTCCATACATAGCTACAATGAAAAGCTGCATCACCCTCACCATTCAGCAAACTGTGTCTTTACACACAAGCAAAAAAACACGATAACTAGCAAAATTAATTAAAATATTATCCACAGCGGTCATCCATTTTTTCATCATTTTCACAAGAGCACAAACCAAACGTAGCCGGGGTGGGGCTAGATGTGTGTTATGGTTCAGGCAAATCCTCATTTTAAGCAAACACCCCTATTTTCTGGCAACCCCCACCCTTCCCAATTTCCCGAACGAGTCCTCAAACTCAACTCATGCACTGCAGACCCACCCAGACGGAATGCTTTGCTGCAGACCTTTTTCAAATATAACTGCTTTTATAGCATTATTTAGAGGTATAAAACACAAAAATCCTCTGGTTTCGGGGGTTTTGCTGACCCCCTCCCCCTACTCTTTTGGAAGAACCTGGCTACGGACCTGCTAGGGGCGGGATGTGTCAACAGTCTATGTAACCTCCTAAACGAAAATCATTATTTTATCATGTACTGTTTTAGGAGAGGAAGAGAGTCAGAAAAGAGTATTTTACTTCCCTGAAAGTGATGAAAACTTGATGACCCCTAAAATAAACTAATCACAAGGGCTGTGAGAATTGCTAAAAAGAGTAACAGTACTCTGACAGCCAGATTATAACAATACAGCAAATAAGCAACAATAAACTCAGGAATTCCTCTTTTTGTAACCAATTGTCACATAGGCGTTGTCGCGTATTTCTATTGCTATGAATCAGTCAGTAAGTCAGTTATAGAGGGTAGTATACATGTTCATAATTTTTTTTTTAAGTGAATACACACTGGAAAATAAAAAGAATAGACGTGAAACATTTCGTAATGGCGACTGAGACAACGTAAAGGATTTAAAACCATGGGCTGTACTTGATACTGAACTTTTGGTTTAGTGTTGTTCGAAGAGGGCGCTGTAACTTCTCAAACAAAATCAGCATCTTCATAGGTACCAGCACACTGCTGTTCATAGTTCATGCATTCGAAGCCGAATTCCTGATGTAAGAAAAAAGATCATAAGTAGGGTTATGACAAGCACAATTAAAAAAAGAATTGTATCTACTAAACCTCTATGAGATTAAACAAGAAGTATGCCTACGTCTACTGGAATTTAGGGCGTGTTGCTACTATAAAAATTTCTTTTTATTTTGTATTCATAGTACAGTAGTTTGAAACGAGTTTTCTTTTTTAATAATTGCTCTGTGCAGAATATTCTAAACCTTGAGGTTGTAGGGTATCCCTAAAGACGTAGGCAGAATGTTTTTATTCCATTATTGATCTTAACACAACGGCCATTTATTGCCAAACATTAGGAAAAATGCAAGCTAAATCTTGAGAATTGAATCATGACTTTGGTATTGAGTTTTTTGGGATGATCAGATTTGTCAATAAAGCAAATGTAGGCCCTACCATCAATAATACGAATGAGGTGACTAGATAATAAACAATTTAGTTCAATTGTATAATAGATTCGTTCGTTAGTACGAATGCATAAATATAAAAGTGTGGTGCCCAGTAAGCTAAATGGCCTACTAGGACGAATCGTCAGGTACATAATTAAGTAGCCTACTCACTTTAGGGGGTAACGGCTCGCAGCAACAGTTCATGAAGGAGGCATAGCAGCCAGCAATGAGTAGAATAATTGCAAAGAAATCTGTGGTTCCGAAGATCACAAGACCTGTAATGTCAATACCAGTGTCTCCAGAGGTTCTTGCCCTCTCGGTAATGAACTCGTACTCTTGCAACCCAGCATATGTACTCAATAGAATACACGCAGTAGAAACTAAAATGAGGATGATATTTGAACAAAGAAAACAGCTTCCCTGAAGAAAAAAACAAAAAAACAAAAACAAAAAAACCCATTATACTACATACGGTAATTGGAAGATGCAGTGGCGTGTCTAGGGGCGCGTAAGGGTGCACACCCCTTACCCCTCCCCACTAAAGTAAGTGCTCGCCCCCACCCCAGTCGCCTCAAAAAGTCACGCTTAAGTAGTTAAGTCACCACAAATCACTTTATTTTGCGAGCTAGCGCCCCCTCACCTAATCATCGAGCACCCCATTTTACCTTCGCGCCCCCCTTCAGCTCCCCCATTTCAAGACTCCTAGATATACCACTGGGAGGATGACGAACACAAAGGCGTGTTTCCATAACATCGCTACACTGTACAGCCGACAGCTTTCGGCTACCCTGATTGGTCTATCGGGGATCCTTCGAAACAGTTTATTTGCTCTATGGTTACACAGTGCAGCGATGGTAGCGAGAGTGTAGCACTTTTATGCAAACCAGATCTAATCAAAACCTACACAATTCGTGGGTGCGTAATTTTTTTTATTGAAAGTCGTTTGTTTCCATTTTTATCAGTATTTCATATATCTAATCTTACCAGTCTTCGATCTAGTGTCTTTTTCGTCATGCAGATACCAAAAATTCCAGTCCATATAGCCTGTAGGACGATAAAACATGGTGATGGTGATACATTATTCTTCGTCTGCCATACAAAATATAGTAAATGTATGTTCAAAAATTACAGGCAGTCCATTGCGGAGTATCTCGTCATTTTGTGACAAACAGATACTAGCTAAATGCAAATATATTTTAAAAGAACCAGAAAATATACTTTTTGATGAATTTGTACTTTATAATAATAATAATAATAATAATAATAATAATAAAATAAATACTATATAACGATAGCTTTTTACATATATCTTTACAGTTATGATTCTGGTTGGTCTCTTTTGTATGTTTTTTGGTGATTTATATTTATACACTTACTATTTATTTAGTTTTATATATATTATTGTTGTTCGATGTTTATAAATGATTTTAACTTATTGAGTATTTCAGTCCTGTTTTAAAAATTGCCCCATGTCGAGGGATAAATAAAGAATTATTGAATTGAATTGAATTGAATTATTATAACAAATCAAGGTCAAATCAAATTAATATCCATGTCAATATCACTTTAAAACTGTTCAATCTGTGGATGTGAAGAAATAAGCAAGATGAGAAAGGTTAAATATAGTCATTAGAAAATATGCAAAATACTGTCATAAAAATATGCTTATGACAAGAGAAATCAAATCGAACAGAAAAAGAGAATATGAAAAACAGCATTTATGTTCAAGTTGATGAAGAAAAAATTATAATAAAATTAATCAGTGACCTAGTCTAGACGGAAGCTTTATTTCAGGTACCTAACGTTATTGTTAAGTAACACTAAGTTTATGTTTTTTGTTGGTTATTTTTTTTTTGTATGCCTATGCAAATATGTTCACCGTCTTCCGTAGACTGTATCTATCACTCTAACTACATTAAGACGCTTTCAATTGTTAGTATTCCTTGTATAAACAACTTACAAATACACCAGTAAATACTGCTATTCCATAGTCGTGCTGACCCCAAACTTGACATCCAAAAAAACAAGCACCCCACATGAGAACTTCAATTATGCCCAACACAAACACAGCGACACTGACATGAATAGCGTTACCATAGATATACGCCATGACTCTTATATATTATTGTCTGTAAAGATAATCAGATTGTAAATTAAATTTTTAGGCCTAGTTGCGGACAGAGTTTCACAAGCATACATAGAGGAGTAGCTTCCCAAAAATAACATGGTGAGAGTATCAGTGCTATTTGATATACGATTCAATCCTACTCCTTCTGAACCTAGACATTCTTTGTTACACATACACATCAAGGTTATAGCACTGCATACAGATAAAGCACCATATGAAAATTAAAACACGAAGGAATGCCTAATAATAGAATATCTATACATCATTTTTCTAGCCTGGACACGGCACCGACCCATAGCAGCACCTTAAATGTGTCAATAGTTCTCCGCCTGCTCCAGGTCAACTTTGAGCCATCATCAATCATGTTATATGGATAATATTTCAGATACAATGGTGTAAAATTATTGTAGTATTTTTAGAAATGTCATCAAGAATATTGAATAGAGATGTGCTTGGAAGTTAAAATGGCCGCCTTTCATGTTTCCAAATTCTCAAATCCTCCACTGTATTGTCCTTTAGTACTGGAACACAGCATGCTCTCTCCATCCTCCGTCCATTTGATGCCATCTTAAATGTTATGCCCGTAACGAGGGGGTTTTTGGGATCCCTTTTTTGAACAGTTTACTACTGCAGTAGTATTTTATCATAAACTTTGTTTATTAAAGAAACACTTCCGAGTTAAATTTAGCCCATAAGAAACCCCCTTACCATGAACCTGGTTACGGGCTGGCCTGGATACTGTATTACAAATACATAAATAATTATAACAGTGCTCTTAACTAGGAACGCTATGATGTTACAATCGTATGAAGAAAGCACCTGGAGTTTGGATCTGTGCCTATACCGTATAGATGTGGTCTAGCAGTATGGCACTTGCCTTGATGGCGAGTGACTGCATGTTCGAATCCTATAATATGGTGTAAGTGCAATCTAACCTTCATGCTTTATGTCAATTATCAGCCTTGAAATAATTTTTTTTTTGTCAATTCTCAGCCGTGAAATAAACAAATAAAAACGTTTCTGCATATTTAATCTGCTTCTCATCTCTCCGATGGATCCAAGACAATCCACTATTAGGCCTATTATATTGATTTATATTAGTATTCGTTCCTTCATGTAACCAGGGAACAGTGAATTTCATTGTTCGCTGATGTAACTGATATCTTCTAACCGAAAGGCTACTGATTAATCTCAGATAAGATATTATAATACATACTCCAAGTATCGAAATGCATGATATCGTGTCGGGATTCAATATTTCGACTTTAATTATGTCATCATCAGGAATGATAGGCCTATACACAATTTATTCTTGATGATGAAATAATTAATGTCGAAATATTTAATCCCGACACGATGGCGTGCATTTAATTCTACAGTATTTATTCACGGGTTTTGATGAAACATCGATCATTGTTAACATCATACATGAATACTTACTACTACAGTTAGCTTATATAGCATTCCCCTCAAGTCATTCTAAGACTGGACTTGAACTTGAGAAAAGAGCTTACCTTCTTTGGGTTACATCAAATCTGTTGTCATCATTCATAGAAACTTACCTGCTGTGTATAGGCCTATCAATTGACACCCTCTGTATCGTTGCTGCAGAAACCGGCTTTTTACCGTTGTGATTTCTATGGTATTGTAAAAACTTATTGTTCAATTGTTTATATAATTTTCTGCCTGGATAATCCAGACAATTCAGTGATACTGTACAGCTGAAATGCTAGTGAGTTTGAAATACGAACTAAGAGCAACCAACGACGCCAGTGTCCTAATCGCATCAAGGCGATGTTTGCGCATGTTGGGGTAATAATAATTGTAAATCTTACTTCTGCAATCATAACATCACTTGACAAGTTCAACACTAAATTCAATTTTCTGTTATCAATTATATAACTGTTCTACTACTTTTGTGAGTGTCTCTTGATAGAGTGTATTCCTATTGCATTTTTTTTTCTTATCGGCAAAATCAAACATCCAACCATACCTTGAAAGATGGCTATGGCTTGTTGACAAATTGATTTTATTTCATCGATCATTTTGACTGCTTAATAGATAAAAGCGTGTTTGATTTTTGATCGTTTCAACGGCGTATTAAAAATACCGATATGGAGGAGATATTGATGGGGTGTACGAAGGGGAAGTGAGGGCGCTAGCTTGGGAATGGGTTGATGTATTGCCCGTGTCATTTTTTGTCAGCAAGTTTCACATAATGTTACAAAATACGCATGTATACTTTTGTGTAGGGTACCCTATACTCTTATTTGTTGTGCTGGATATTAACGAGTCCCTGGTTCAACCGCTGCTCAAGTCTTTCAAGATAAACAATTAATTCAAATACTGTATATCGAGAAAATTCAAATTAATCCATTTTGAATATTATGATTACAGTATCTAGGCCTTGATGTTTGTTACAATTGATTAATTAATTAATTATGATTTTAAAACCACCATTTCCCCATTGTGGAGATATTTTATTATTATCAACTATTTTATTATTAGCAACAAAGCATGCGTGTACAGATACATCTGTTACGTAAACATTTCTTGCTTACAATTAGGGGCCCATTAGTTCTAGCTTACTTCATAATGAGTTTCAATAAGAATTTATTTGCGCCCCCACCACATATATCTGATTGGATAATTTAAATCATGATCTAAATATAAACAATACCAATTGGTTGGGAAATTAATCAATTGAAATAATAATTTATCTATTGTGATTATAATTTTAATTCTTTAGACGAAAACTCCCTTTTTTGTGAGAAAGAGACACTCTGGCCTTATCCAGCGTATCGGTCAATTTAACAAACTCCAAACAAACATTTTGGTTGTAACACCCGATTTCATTAGATCAATTCCTTCCGTCGCAATAGTGTTGTTTCAGCCCTAATTCAGTTGACAAGGGAAAACACCAGCGACTCAAATGCTTATCCTATAAATGTAGTTATGAGTCTGAAATTTTCAGAATGGGTTGACATATTCTGTTAACCTGTCGGCTATTGTCGGTGTTGTAGCCGAGTTTCATGTTCGTCTCTGTACCCACACCGATGACGTATTCCGCGCACACACCCAGTAGTTTTAACACCTTCGTTAATATGTTCTTATAGCAAGTATAGTTTCAATGCAAAACAAGCATTTGTTAGCATTTACTAAAAGGTGAGTATGCTGAAATTTATCATTTTGTTTTACATTTTGTGAATTTCATAACGAACAAGCAAATTTTAATACAGAGCTTAGGCAGATGTAGATATCATTATACAATACAGACGCGTGACCTGTCATTCTAAAATTATTATTTTCATATCCAATTCGTGATGCGTACTATGTCTGTCTAATTAAGTTGAACAATAGTTCTATACTATGGTGATTTTATAACTCTAATTCTAACCAACGATTTCAACCAGTGTATCATATTGTTCTTGCACTTCTAGTTTGTCTCAATCGTGTTGTATATATCATTGCATGTGGGAGGTAGGCCGAAATCATCGTTAATTCGTCCTTGATATTTATCTTTGACTACCATCTTATTATGTTAGTGAATTTCATAATGGTTGTTGCAGAAACATCAATTTTGCTTAGTGTATGATATGGTATCTCACTAGGAGCGGTAATACTAGCACAAATAGCGATAAGTAAAAGTAGCTAAAAAGTGGTAATCTAAAAAATAATGGTAGGCCCTAACGTCTGCAATGCAGTAGTTGTTAGAAAAAAACATAGAATCACAATAAGTACAAGTCTCCCTCTAATTAAAGACCCCTCCAATTAAAGACCACTTTTCTGTGGTCCCAAATTAACAAATGTCTTTTATCTTCATTATTCTAATTAGTGACCAATTCAAAAGTACTAAAGACCATAGAAGCCCTGGTCCCAAAAGTGGTCTTTAGTTAAAGGGAGACCAGTAGGCCTATTCATTTTCAAAGTTGTTATTTTCAGTTTCCATCCCACATGTAAGCGTAGATATCGGTAGACTTATTAGGTTAGGAGGTACCCTGGAACCCTTCTCTACCCCCACGATCAGACAAAAAGCCAATTACGTCGGGGAACGATGCATGCATTAAAACTAAGCCATCAGTCTGAGGGTGCAGTTTTTGGGCATTTAGAAGTGCTTATTCTTATTAACATTAATGTTAATAATATTATTATGGCTATTATTGTTATTGGTTATTTTTTTACTGTACTATAATTATTAACATATACGCGCAAATTTAACCCACTCACTATAATCGTGTATTGCATATGATAAGGCATCGTCGCTCACATCACGAACTAACACAATCAAAGTAGATTGTGTTAGTTCGTGAAATCAAGAAAGCGCGTCAAAATACGCGCTGTTGTTAAGGATTTTTTGTGTGGTAAAGAATACAAAATTGCTTGACAACCAATACGCGCTCGTTTTGACGCGCTAATGTGATTTCACGAACTAACATAATCTACTTTGATTGTGTTAGTTCGTGATGTGAACGACGGCATGTGACGTCATCATGTGTGTCTAACATTAATAAATTTTATAAGAAAAATAGCACCGACAATACGTATTGATTTGAAGTTTCTTGGTAACCAGTCTGACAGCCAACCGTCTGCGTCGCTATCATCGTAACAAAATCATATATTATATCTGTCAATAGCGATAACTCCATTGAAACACTACTAAACATTAAATTGTAATAACGGAAAATATACTATAAGGAGTTTGCAGCGTTACTATGTCAACGAAAACCAGCATAATGCGCCATTATAATTATATTCACTTATATTACGTGTTGCTTTGAGCAATCTAGACTGTTTGGTGTATGGTCTGAGGTGTAATATTGGTATATTTTATATTATATTATATATATATATATATATATATATATATATTGTACCATATGATCTAATATAGTTTCAAAACTTATATTACTCACCAGTATCACCTAACTACATGTCTCTGTCTATTATTAGACGATACATCATGATAAAGATATTTCTGGTTTTATTATTATTATTATTATTGTTATTATTATTATTATTATTATTATTATTATTATTATTATTATTATTATTATTATTATTATTATTATTACTATTATCATCATCATTATTATCATCATCATTATTATGTATTACTTAATTCTCATGTCAATATTATATTTATGAGATAATCATGATATTATCCTCTTTATGTTTTATATTATTCAGATCATGGCGCCGTGGAACTCATATAGGACTTGTACGGCTGTAACTAGTGTTATACTGTTAATCTCTGGCCTATTTCTAATAGCCTTTTGGTCGAGTTGTTATCAACATTGTTTAACGAAAAATGAAGCAACAAATGACGCTGCGTCACCTCTATGGACTGGTATCATTGTGAGTACTTATGCCCATAATGGAGTGAGGATGAAGGGTTTGGGGTGGTGTTGAAGAGATGACATTTATGAAGACGATTATAGGCTTAATGATGCTGTTGAGAGTGGTTATAATGGTAATGAGGATAATACTGTACATATAATGATGGTAAAGGTGACAGTGGTAACAATTTGTCATAATGACCAAGATAATACTGATGATGATGATGATGATGATGATGATGATGATGATGATGATGATGATGATGATGATGATTATACATTGATTATTAATGAAAGTTCATAATGGATGCGGTAAAAGTAATATTAAATTAATATTTTAGGTTTCTTTAGTCGGTATATTTGGGATGTTCGCCTCATTTCTCTACTGGCAACCAAAGAATGTAAGTTCTACTTTTCAGTCGCTTTATACACACACACACACATGCACACACCCACACACCCACCCACACACACACACACATATTTATATATATATATATATATATATATATATAAAACACATGTATGTTTTTATATATGCATATAATAGTTAAAATGATCCTATGGGTGTGGGTGTGGGTGTGGGTGTTGTGTGTGTGCGTGTGTGGGTGTGTGTAGGTGTTGTGTAATCATTTACAAAGAGCCTCACACCAATTAGAATTGGTGTGAGGCTCTTTGTGAATGATTGTCTTCCACCACAGATAGCGTTTATATTATTATACAAATCTCAGTATTTTGACTACTACTTAAATTATTAATAATTTTTCACCTTTTCGCTGACTTGTATAGCGCATCATGCAAAAAAGCTATGTGCTCAATTGTTTCAATTCTGTTATTGACAACCTTCAATAATGTTGAATTTTGAATTATTAAAATATAATGATCAGTTAATTGGCCTATATTTTCATTTTTTCCACAGGACATAGCATTTGTATTTATGAACATGATCCTTATACTATGTTCAATAGTATGTGTCGCCCTCTCGATATACGCATCGTACAAAGAATGGAAGGCATATGACGCTGCAACGGAAACTAGCGTTGAAAACTACACAGTGCTCGGAGTGGTTCTCTTCGCCCTGATGGCCTTCTTCGCCTTCTTGGTACTTATAGTAAGCGTACTTTGGACGTGCTGTTTTTGCTCTTGGAGAGACACATGGGATGAGGTATCTTGACAAAAATTTATTATGATAATACTGAAAACTATTAAATCGGGATTTTTGAAAATGATATAGGCCTACGTCATCATTCCTGATGATGACATAATTAATGTCGAAATTGAATCTCAACACGATGCCCTGCATTTCAATACTTGGAGCATGGACCTATTTATAATATGTTATGTGTGGCTTCACTCAAAATGTTTAGAGTTCCAGCATTATTGAATGTTACATTTCTTTCCTAAAAACTGTATCAGATTTAATATAGTATCCTTATTTTCAAAATAACAGGGGCCAAGAATGGCAGATCCTAATCCTCACACAACTGTCAAAGTAATTGAAATTCCACGCTATTCAGTTTATGGATCGTCAAAAGACTGGCGGGGTTACAGCTCCGATGTCGGAAGAAGACCACCGTCATCCCTATTCGATAAAAGAAGATCGCCCAATCCTTGGTGGAGATCGTACCGAAGGCGTCCTTACGACCCTTATTATTGGCCGGAGCGACGATCACGACGCCATCGGCCTCGCAACTGGTGGATGGCGTATCCCCCGTACGATAGCAGTGTAAGCAGCGCTGCTAGGTTAAATACTCGTTAACGAAACACTGTCTGTGTCTAGCTGAAAATAATTTTTAAAAAAATTTAAACAATAATATTTTAATTTGATACTTATTTTAGTAAGTTATCAACTTTCAATTGAACATTCAAACAAGAAACTTTACCTTACCTATTAACAGACATACTGTATAAATAGGCCTATTATTCCTACAGTGTATTATTTTTATATGGACAGTTAAATTGGCTGGTAAACAATTTAAGGTTTTTGTAGTTAAACGTCTGTAGATCAGTAAAAATCCCAATTGTTCTCTCATTAAATTTGATTAATTATTTGATCATCTTTAATACAAAAAAAATCATATTTAATTGATTTAATGGGGGGGTTTTTTGGCCACAGACAGTATATCTTTATTTATTAATCGCAATTGGTTATTAAAGTACGGTTGCTATTCCAAGAGATAACCTAGTGGAACTTTCCGCTAAGACCCAGTCCTTGGATATTGTTGCTAATGCTCTGCTAAACACTTGCGTTTGTGCGACAAGACTTTTTCTGGCAATGATCTGATTGGTCGATTGGTTGCTATGTTCGATTGATAGGCCTACACGAAATTTCAGCTGTCAGCTAATGCGCGTGTAGATAATAAAAAATGCTATGTTATAGGCAGGGGGTTTGTGATTTTTATATTTATCAACTGACCTGAAATTAATATTAGGCCTACGTAAGATCATAGAGTGACACGTTAACATTGACGTAAAAGAAGTCATTTAGAAGCTTCAAAGGTCTTTCCGCTAAGCCAGCCCCGGACGGTCCTATAAAATGACAGTGTGAGCATGTGGTTTTGTGCGTATTCCTGATCGTGTTCTCATTGGTCAGTTTTGAGTGACAACCCCTAAAGGTCCATTACACAGGTCTATGTGAAGCTGTGGCTTGCTGGTAAAGACACTCGCTTTGCAATACCATGGTATTTGGTTCTTTTCTTTAAAAAATACAAAACCTTAAATTGGTTTTGATAATCATATACTAATTTGAGTAATGATACAAGTGTTTGTTACGATTTACCTGGAAGATATATCGTTGCGCCATCTTTTAAGGCGTCTTAATTAAGAACATAGTTCGAGTTCCTATATAGGCCTACGTAAAGCAAAATAGCGTAAAATAACAATTTTACACAAATCTACAACACATGTGAGAATTCATTATTCAAATTACTTTGGTACAGTAGAATGTACTAGAGTAATATTTAGTAATAGGTAAATGAACTAAATAACAGTGACCTTGGTAATCCCCTAAATATAAGCAAATTATTATTTTTTTAATAAATACGTGACGAATAAGAAATGTCTAGATCTATCACAAAATTTTAGCATATACTCTATAATCCAGCCTTTATCAAAACTGGTTGTGTCAACACTTTACAGAACTATTGGATCGCAATTGTTCTATTGTTTGTCTTTTATTTGCAAAGGTTACACTATCTAAAAAATTAAGGTTAAAAGACGTAAAAAAAACTCCACTCCCCAAAATTCAGCAGAGGCAGTTACAAATAAATAACTATAAAATTGTATAAATGTTAAACTGTTTCTATTTTATAAATCGAGAAGCAAAAACAAGTTTTATAAATGCATTACATATAATTTAATTTGGAAAATACAAAATATTTTATCATTGTGAGTTCTCAATATTCATACAAATTGTTCACTTAATTTATTTTAAATTGGTAGAGGAGTTGTTATAGGTGGTATCTGAAGTATCAGATTATGAGTCTGAATGTGTTTATTGGTCATAATTATTCAAAAAATATATTAAGGAGATAGCGACTATATTTGGAAAAATAAATATATGTTAAAATTAGCGGAAGATAATGATGCAATAGGACCCAATATTTCCGAAGATGTAGTAGGGTCTTTCTAGTGGTGAATTTTACAGTACACCGAGTGACCATCTCAAACTACAATGACGAATTCATATTTTTGTAAAGTATCGTTCTATACAATATCAGTCTGATGTATTCTATGCAACTCTTTTAATGATATATCTTAGATACAATTCGAACGATATATTTCTATGTAAAGTCTATATCGTAAAATAAGGGGACATGTCTATCGACTCTTATGGCACTCTCACATTATTCCGTCTTGGAGGGCCTATTGTATTTATACAATTAGGTACGGTAGGTGTTTGAATCTTCTGCAAATGTCGAACGTGTTTATAAATATTGATGTTATTCTTAAATATACAGTTGCTTCGTGTTAATTTACCTTATAAAATGTTTATAATTTTCTAAACTATTTTAATAATTTTGAAAAATTTCTTGACTATAGATCTGTAAATCGCTATTAGTCCTATGCTAAATCTGTTCAGGGATTTGAATACAAAATAATTACAGTTGCTAATTGTATTCTAGCTAAGCATTATGCACCCTTAACGCTGTCTCTTATACACATCTAGATGTGTATAAGAGACAGTTTCTATTGAATCGTTTCCGAATAAGGCAGGCCAGTTAGGGCCTAGCCTAGGCCTAGACGCTAAAAATAGGCTTAGCAGCATAGGCTAGCCCAGTGAATTCGGTATGACTAGCCTACGAAAAAAGTTAACATTTAAAATTTGCACGCATAAATCCCGGAGAACGCTATCTTGTGTTTATAAGATCTTTGGTAATAGGTAAATGAACTAAATAACAGAGACCTTGGTAATCCCCTAAATATAAGCAAATTATTATTTTTTTAATAAATACGTGACGAATAAGAAATGTCTAGATCTATCACAACATTTCAACATGTACTCTATAATCCAGCCTTTATCTAAATTGGTTGTGTCAACACTTTACAGAACTATTGGATCGCATTTGTTCTATTGTTTGTCTTTTATTTGCAAAGGTTACACTATCTAAAAAATTAAGGTTAAAAGACGTAAAAAAACTCCACTCCCCAAAATTCAGCAGAGGCAGTTACAAATAAATAACTATAAAAATGTATAAATGTTAAACTGTTTCTATTTTATAAATCGAGAAGCAAAAACAAGTTTTATAAATGAATTACATATAATTTAATTTGAAAAATACAAAATATTTTATCATTGTGAGTTCTCAATATTCATACAAATTTTTCACTTAATTTATTTCAAATTGGTAGGGGAGTTGTTATAGGTGGTATCTGAAGTATCCGATTATGAGTCTGGATTTGTTTATTGGTCATAATTATTCAAAAAATATATTAAGGAGATAGCGACTATATTTGGAAAAATAAATATATGTTAAAATAAGCGGAAGATAATGATGCAACAGGACCCATTATGTCCGAAGATGTAGTAGGGTCTTTCTAGTGGTGAATTTTACAGTACACCGAGTGACCATCTCAAGCTACAATGGCGAATTCATATTTTTGTAAAGTATCGTTCTATACAATATCAGTCTGATGTATTCTATGCAACTCTTTTAATGATATATCTTAGATACAATTCGAACGATATATTTCTATGTAAAGTCTATATCGTAAAATAAGGGGACATGTCTATCGACTCTTATGGCACTCTCACATTATTCCGTCTTGGAGGGCCTATTGTATTTATACAATTAGGTACGGTAGGTGTTTGAATCTTCTGCAAATGTCGAACGTGTTTATAAATATTGATGTTATTCTTAAATATACAGTTGCTTCGTGTTAATTTACCTTATAAAATGTTTATAATTTTCTAAACTATTTTAATAATTTTGAAAAATTTCTTGACTATAGATCTGTAAATCGCTATTAGTCTTATGCTAAATCTGTTCAAGGATTTGAATACAAAATAATTACAGTTGCTAATTGTATTCTAGCTAAGCATTATGCACCCTTAACGAGTAGGCGTGTATATTTGAAGCCATTTCTTCGTTCCTGGTCTAATGAGCAATATAATTATATATTATATATATAGGTGTATATATATATATATATATACATATATATATATATATATATATATATATAAATCAAGATAGCCGTTAACACAGTTAAATTATATATAAATCATCAAAGAAAGGTAAATACAATGTTCGAATAAAGGACATAATAATACATATATATATAAATATATTTATATATTTATATATATATTTACATATATATATATATATTATATATATATATTATATATATAAATATATATGTGTGTGGGGGTGTGGATGGATGGGTGTGTGTGTGTGTGTGTGTGTAAAAGCTTAAGTTTAAAACTGTTTACCAATGTGTTACCATAGTACTAAAAGCCTTCGGGAAATTAAGAACAATACATTAGACAGCGCATCTTATTAACAATCTCCCTTTAATAAAACATGACTTTGTTTTCTATTTCAAAATTCTTGACTCTTGTAATATATTCTTTGAGGCATTGTCTGTACGATTTGCATATTATCTAAATATGATGATGATATTATTTCAAACACTATCGAATATTAAATTAGCAACTTCCGCATAAATCTCCGTTTCATATGTATTTCTTTGCACTGTTGAGGCGGACGTCAGAGTTTTAATTCATTGAATTGTTGAAGCGTATCATAATTATCGGGGTTTTTCACAAAACGACTTTCTTTCAATAGTGTGGATTAGAATCTAACGGAGAACTTTACTGTCAACTTACACACCTTGGATTATACGCTATGTATGCGGAAATAAATGTTGAAACCCGTTCATAGCGCGTAGGCCTATTTCTTGATTTGAGTTTGGGTTGTCAAGTGAAGATTCAGGGGCAAAGCCTAGTTCCTAAGAGTTCCAGAAGCCTAACAAGAGGGATAAAAACGATACCATGTCCGACCATAGGGTTCATCACCAACGAAGGTCTGATTGGCGGTACCCCAGGTAAGAATATTGATATATAGATTTACTGTATTGTTATGTACCGGCACCTAATTACTAGGCACATAGGCCTAGGCCTATATAATATATATATATATATATATATATATAGGCCTATATATATATATATACATACACACATATATACACACATACATACATACATACGCCCACATACACACATGTATACACCCATACATACATACATACATAATTTTATTTATTTATTTAATTCTCAACTAACAGATGATAAAACCTCTACTGACAGGTTGGAGAAAAACATATACATATACAAGGAAGCAAATAAAAACTTACATCAAACAATCTTCATAATTTTAAGCTTAAATTAGGATAAACTATCATAAAAAATATCAATTTCATCAGAACAACTTAAATTATTATATGTAACAGCTAATCTTTGAAATAAACCTCTCTTAGTTACGTCAACCCGGCCAAATGGAACATAGATTAAGTTCCTAGAGCGAGTACAACAAGGAACGTTTAATTTAAACAAAGGTACAAGATTACAATCAAATATAGAACTTAAACTTTTGTAAAAAACAACATTTAAAAAACAAATCTGCGTTTACTTAAGGAATCAATATTTACAGTATAATCAGGACATGTCTATATATATAATATATATATATATATATATATGATATAGGCCTATACATATATATATAATTATATATATGCATCTTTTACCAAAATATACACGTTTATATATAGAATTACTATATACGTATATTTATATATATATGTATATATATAGGCCTATATATGAGTATATATAT